CGACAACTGCTGAATCTACAGAGATCAAATACATTATCATAGATTGCTCATCATTTCCATATATTGATCTCTGCGCCGCTCAGTGCTTACGGCAAGTTTACCATGAATATAAATGCATAGGCATAACCGTTTTGTTTGCCTGCTGCAAAGGTAAAATTAACGTAATGTAAACAATTGCATAAATTATATTTTTGCTATTTATAGTTTCGGTTCGGCGGTTTCTGCAACTATGCAACTTCTATGATTCTGTACCCCGAACCTGCTTCTTTGTGTCAATTCATGATGCGGTCCTGTTTTGCCATAGAAAAAGGATAGCTCGGCAAATAAAGAAACATTCGCTTTAATCGCTAAGAAATCCGTTCGGACCTTTCTCGATGCCACTGTTATAACTCGCCGATAATCGCAGAAACAAGACAAGCAATTTATTGCATACGGTCTCAAAATATCATAATTTCCAAGTAGAACCGGATTTAAATTAACTATACGTTAGAATAGTGCAAATAAATGGATACATGAATGCTTTATTGCAGGGTTGCTTTCCCTTGTACACTGCAGACGCTAAATTACCATGAAGCCGTGGCCTGTTGAAGCAGTTCCCTAATTTCTTTCAAACAAAGGTGTGTGCAATTACACCTTGCCAATCCGGAAAAGTGACAGAAGATTGCTATTCTTTAAGCAGTATCGAAACTTACAGTTTGATAGTAAGAATATAATTCCGCGGTTAATTTTTGTTATATGATAGCTTACTATGTTGTTTACAATAAACTAGCTTTAATTACTGCTTGTATTTTATTATAATAACGAATGTTATCACTCATTTTGTTTGAGAGAATTTTATTCTGACGATGGAACATTTAGTTCTGGTGTTGATAATTATACCAAAGAATAACTCAGAAATCGCTTACCTGGGTACTACGCAACATGACTGTCTATCAGATGACAGACCGACGTTGACGCTTCAGCCCTGCTTCGCTCCTGCCTGTTGGGAAATTTGTTAGCGGCAGACGCCACGAGCAACAAGCTCGTTATTCTGTCTTTTAACGTTTAAGACAGCGAACAATAAAATAAGCTGTAGCATCAGTAATGCCAAAGGTAATATCTCGAATAATAATCTTGTTTAATACTTTCTCATCTCTATTCTTTCAAAAGTTACAAAATCCAAATAAGATATTAACGTAGCACACTTTGGCGCAGCAGCTGAGTTTTTCATGTTGAAAATCTGTATCTCCCATGGGATTATACTACATATCAAACTTATTACATATATGCCTTCAGGAGGAAATATATAGAACAGAACATTTTACAGCAATGACGCAGATAGTCAGACAGCAATTCCAGTACAGAATTTAACTCTGCAACTGCAAATTGGTTCAGTTTCGTTCTAATGTGAACAAACTTCCATATCAACCTCTTTATTTGGGACATTAGTTCGATGGAAATACTAAGGCTTCTATTTTCCGGCTAATACAATTTTTCTCTAAAGCATTTCTTTCATTTGGCCTCATTCTTCACAATATTCACAATAATTCTTGTACTACGTTACACGGCCGCCTAAAATCTTTTCGCATTCTTTGTTCCACACCTACTTAATTTCTTTTGCCTTTGTTTGCGACTGTTCATTCTGTAACAGACATAAAACCATGTCATCTAGTCAGATTGCCAATCAGTTTATTCTTTCTATCACTTATGGTGTCATAACGAAAATGAGCATTGACATAACATACCACGAACATGCACCACTGAGTAATTCAGTTTTCACATCTCTGAAAGTCCTTCTGAGCAGAAACTGTATTTGAGCGATGCTCCTATTTTTACGGTTCAAAAGCAAAATATCTATACTTGTTATCATTAACATATGTTCAATATTACTCCGACGTAACAGTCGCAAACAATGTGATTCCCCATACTCATCGACGGTTGTGTAAATTACTCATCACTAACATTCAGTGTCGGCTGGAATTAATTAAACTTCACAACTATCATATCAATTCTACACCGTTACCCCCATCATCAATTGGACTATAAAACATCTTTTCTACACGTTTTCATTCACACACTCTGCCGTCTGATATAGAAAATAACGTTACAAATCGTCCGACATTGAAAAACCGAAGAAATTCAGTTTCTGTTTGAAACAAAATGCATCAAGACAAAACAGCGATCATTCGATTAAGAGTTTATTTCAATAAAATAATTAAAAGCATTTACAGTTATCAGATTCAGATAGATACATCGAGAATAAAAATAGCAAAATAGATTAAAAAAGTGGTTTATATACTCTGGACTGTCGGCCTATATTCCGCCGCGGAGTCTGAGAACAAGATGCAAAGTGCTCTCCTTTTGTATGTTGTAATCGGACAAAGTGCGTCCGTCTTCCAGTTGTTTTCCTTAAAATAGCAATTCACATTTTAAAAATTAAAAAATATTAAATACACACCAGCGAATATCAACCTCTGTTGATCAGGTGGAATGCCCTCCTTGTCTTGAATTTTAGCCTTTACGTTTTCAATTGTATCCGACGGCTCTACCTCCAACGTAATAGTCTTGCCGGTGAGCGTTTTGACAAATATTTGCATTCCTCCTCTCAACCTTAGGACCAAATGAAGAGTGCTTTCCTTCTGAATGTTATAATCAGAAAGGGTCCTGCCATCTTCTAACTGCTTTCCTATAAATGATTCAAATTTATGCACAAAAACATTCTTTCAGACTCACGTACCTGCGAAAATTAAGCGCTGTTGATCAGGAGGAATTCCTTCTTTGTCTTGAATCTTTGCCTTAACGTTTTCTATCGTATCAGATGGTTCCACTTCAAGCGTTATCGTCTTGCCCGTGAGGGTCTTCACGAAAATTTGCATCCCTCCTCGAAGTCGCAATACCAGATGCAGTGTACTTTCTTTCTGAATGTTGTAGTCAGACAGAGTTCGCCCATCTTCCAACTGCTTTCCTGCAGAATTAATAAAACGTGCTTAATTTTAGGGAAAAACCTAACATCTAACGTCTATTTAATTACCAGCAAAAATCAATCTTTGCTGATCAGGGGGAATGCCCTCCTTGTCTTGTATTTTAGCTTTAACATTTTCAATTGTGTCTGACGGCTCGACCTCCAGCGTGATAGTTTTTCCCGTTAAAGTTTTGACAAAAATTTGCATCCCGCCTCGAAGCCGCAGAACCAGATGCAACGTACTCTCTTTCTGAATATTATAGTCAGAGAGAGTTCTGCCGTCCTCAAGTTGTTTGCCTAATCAGGAAACATTATTACTGAAATATAATCTTAACCTGCAGATAAACCTACCGGCAAAAATCAATCGTTGCTGATCCGGAGGTATCCCTTCTTTGTCCTGAATCTTCGCTTTAACATTTTCAATCGTGTCCGATGGTTCAACTTCCAAAGTAATAGTTTTTCCAGTCAATGTCTTGACGAATATCTGCATGCCTCCACGAAGTCGCAGCACAAGGTGCAGGGTACTTTCCTTTTGAATGTTATAATCTGACAGGGTTCTGCCATCTTCCAATTGTTTTCCTACATTAATTTTTAATTAGCTGCTAAAAAATTAATACAACATATTATACCTGCGAAAATCAATCGCTGCTGATCCGGAGGAATCCCCTCTTTATCCTGAATTTTAGCCTTAACATTTTCAATCGTGTCCGACGGTTCAACTTCCAACGTAATAGTTTTGCCCGTTAACGTTTTGACAAAAATCTGCATTCCTCCTCTCAACCTTAGTACCAAATGAAGGGTGCTTTCCTTCTGGATGTTGTAATCAGACAAAGTCCTGCCGTCTTCCAGCTGTTTGCCTGAAAACTGGAGTTCACATCAACAAATATTTCTTGTCTTCCGATAATCACTTGCCTGCGAAGATTAAGCGCTGCTGATCAGGTGGGATTCCTTCTTTGTCCTGGATCTTGGCCTTGACGTTTTCGATCGTATCAGACGGCTCAACTTCCAAAGTAATCGTCTTTCCGGTCAGAGTTTTAACGAAGATCTGCATGCCGCCACGAAGTCGAAGAACAAGGTGCAACGTACTTTCTTTTTGTATGTTATAGTCAGACAAAGTACGACCGTCCTCTAGCTGCTTGCCTGAATTTAATTTAATTTAACTTAAGTGAATTTACACAACAAATAAGAGAAAATCAGTTATACCTGCAAAAATCAAGCGCTGTTGATCGGGAGGGATGCCTTCTTTGTCTTGAATTTTCGCCTTTACGTTTTCGATCGTGTCAGAAGGTTCCACTTCTAACGTAATTGTTTTACCCGTCAACGTCTTTACGAAGATCTGCATTTTTCACGAAATCGTACGACAAAACGAAGACACTAACACCTCACCAACTATATATAGAGCAACCTCGTGATTCAGCCAGCCTAGAACAGTCTAGAAAATGCCAGACGGACGTAACTTCCCTGCAAATCGTACCGTACCAGGAAAGTAAATTATTCATACACATAGTCCAATAGATCCTTTATTCATGCTTTTGAATGAATTGCTGAAAATTATGATATTATTTCTGTAATTTTGTTGATTTTTGCTAAGAAAAAGAACAAAAAATTGGCACTTCATTGCTCTTGTTCTCGATTAATATAGTTTTCTATTCCGCTCGTAGTCAATCGATATGATGCATAATCTGCGGTGTTACAGTGATATGGTGCTGTCGTTTGTCAGATCTTCACGTTTTTTACTAAAGTTAAATGACTCCATTCTGCTGTATTTTATCAAACAAAGGGTGATAAAATAAAAACAAAGGGTGTGCAATCACATATTCGCATAATACACAATGGTTTAATTTTTATTCAGCCGAGCAAATCAAAAAACAATTATGCTGGCAAGTGCACGTAGCACATTGCATGACGCAATCTTGAAAGCTGTTGGTAGGATCGTGTCAAAACATTACCCTGTGAATATTATTTGTCTTTCAATCTAGGTTCTCAGTGGTTTCATTCAAGCAAAGCTTTGCAAATGCGACATGATGCAGTATTGTAACTTATTGCTGAGAAAGCTTAACTTGCTCAGATGCATTGAAATCAAATGAATTTTTTGAGAACGCAAGTTGATAGCAAATTTCTTCAGCATGCAATTCAGTGTTTGAAATAAATGCCAGTATATGAAAGTAAGCCCACATTGTAGGCTTACTAATAAACTGCTAGTTGTTTATACCGTCAATAAGAATTACATTTTTTTGTCAATCATCCGGATTTTACGAGATGTAGATGCATCTTTCCTTGCTTATAATGGCCTAAGCGACCGCTTAAGCAAGCTGTGGCTCCGTGATATTTGAGCTCCTGCAGTGAATGGAGACAAAAACGAATCACGGAGGCAATCGAAATGACTTGTTCAGGAATCTACTAGATTATCGAATTATGCAATTATTCATCATATATGTGCATTAAATGACCACGGTATTATGGGATTAGTAGTAAACAGTTATTTTTTTCACAGAGATGGATCACTGCTTTTCGCAAGATAGATATGGTCATGAACCCTGAAATGGTTGACACCGTGATAAAGGGTCGCTGTGTCGACAAATTGCTCTTGCTCGAATTTTGGCCAGATCAGTCGCATTTCTCTTCTATCTTGTCAATGAAAATGAGTCCCAAGGTATGGATAACAGAAGGCAACATGTTATACAGTTATACAATACGGCTATCTAGCTACAGATATTGCCTTCAAAAATAAGGCTCATCTGGTTTATGGAATTGCAACAGAGGTTAATCAAGGAGAATACAGTCTGGCACATATTGCTGGTTCAGTTGATTAAAATTCGACAAACTGGAAATTTTTTAGGAAACACCCATCAGACGGATAAAGAAGACGTGTTAGACTTAGTAAAAAATTTGTTTTTCTTTGAGTATGCCATTTATCAGAGAGTTCCTCTTCAATTTTTTTGCTTTCAAGTCCGTAGAGAGATCCAGAAATTGGAGCCTTCACTTCACATTCCATGACCGCTTTTCCTTTCGGGTCGCGAAAACGGACACTCCTTGCATTACTTTCAAAATTCTATCAAGCCTGTGCCAACATCTAAGCCTCTACAAAGGACAACCGTGGTCTAGAACTTCCATATATTTGCGCCAGCTTAATTTTGTCCATCCGCTGGTTCTCTGCCGGTTAGTTGGATAAGAAACAGTTGCTCCGCTTTCCTTTCTGAAGACATTCGCTAGTCATTCCCAAACCATCGCAGCTGTGACTTCTCAATGTCTGAAGAAGCAATGATGTACACAAACGCTATTGCGGATTTATGTATTCTGGACCATGTCGAGACATTGAGGCCAGTGACTCATCTCAGAAAGCCCATTTCAGCAGCTTGTACCCGGGATCGAAGTTTTTCAATTATGACCAACGATTCATGATCATAAGTGAGCATGGGGATGCAAATCGACTTGAAAACCGAGAGCTTATACTTAAGACTCGGCTCTGCTTTGTGATGATGCTTCCGGCTAGTTGCCGCAGAACGCCACTGGCGGTTTCAATCCGCTGGTCAATCTCCTCCTCAAATTTTTCATCACCAGTAAACACCACCCCGAAGTACCTGAACTTCTCCATGTGCCGCTGCCCTCTGTTAACCTGAAGAGAGCAACACATAGGAGAACGAGAAAACATTGGGTTTTGCGTTTTAGGTACGTTCATTTGCACGCTGGCCACGTCGCACTCAGCTGCGAACCTTTTCAGGGAGAGCTGTAAACTAGTATGAAGAGATGCCAATAAAACAAAGTCGTCTGCAGACAGCAATCAACCAAACAGCAACACAGTAACACTCATTCATCAATCTCGGAAAGAAATGCAAGTGACCCTGACCGGGCTCGAACTAGGAATCTGTCGAATCTGGGGCTATCACTTTGCCGACTGAGAAAACTGTTGTGTGTATGCTTTACATAAGGCAACAGCAAGGGGACCGTGTACCGCATTAAAAATGCGCTGAAATTGGAGACATTATCATGGGAAATATCTGGTATATTAGCGAACGATAGGATGCTGACAATTCTAGAGACAAATGGACTGCGTAAAATAGAACAGATGACATGGGAATGAAGGAGACCCTTGAGGAAATGTAAAAACCACTCAATTCGATTGTTGAAAGAGTAAAGAGTTTCATGGACAGTTCGTCGCAAACTCATTGAAGACATGAACGTCAATCAGACGTACAAATGGCTAAAGGGAAGAGGACTCCGTGGCTAGACAGCAGCCATGCTATTAGCTGTCCAAGACGAAACACTGAGCAAGAACGCGTACAAAATTAAGATCCAGAATAAGCTCTGGAAACAAGGTGCAAACTGAGTTACAACGCTATTTCTACGGTGTTAGTCTGCGAAAAGTTCCAAAATCGAGAACACGAGAAAGGTTATGAAGACGTTGTAAGGAGTTATGCAAATGAGCTGATTCACCAGTGCCAAGCAATGGTGGAAACGTAGGCTAATAGCGACGGAAGAGACTGAGCAAGTGAAAATATTCTGGGGCTTCCCCATATGAATGGCAAAAGAAATATCGTCTCATCAGTACAATATCACGTCGATAGAGAATGTGAAAGACGGGCACAAATAATCAATATGGCATGATCATCTGAAAATACCATTATTGTTAAAGGAAGAGAAATATCAAGAATTGAGAGTTGAAACAACAAAGATATAGAGAGTACATGCGGAAGCAGCGGAAAAGTACTACCAGCGCCTATTGGTATCAGTTGGTCAAGTGATTAGGATCAAGCAACTGCAGAAGATGACGTTATCATGGACAGCACGGCTTTTAATAATCGGACTTCAGCTCCATACTCCTTGACATAGAGTTCTGAAAGCAAGATTTTACTGCCATTCATGCCATATTTCATGTAATGTGATTAAACTTCAAATAGAACATGAGGAAAAATATACAACTGGAACAAAAAAAATGCACGAAGCAAAAATGACAGTCGAAACACATCGAGGTACTGTGATCTGAAGTCTTTTAAATGCTGATGCTGCGATGAAAGATCTGTCATGTTCTTAGGCTTGCAGAGAGAAGCCGTGATGTTCTGACATGAAGTTCAGGCATAAATAGGATATTTTTTCGCGATGTTTGAACGATGTCAGAAACAGGTCGATCATCGATATTGCAAATTTGAAAGTATGCCAGCTTGAGGCAGGCCATTGAGTTGTCGAATGCCGTCGCAAGGACTGTTTCGAGGCTTTAAGATCACAAGCAAGAAGGTAAGAGAACCCAGCGACCAACGCTTCTGGTACTGGGACTCATACAAATACGTACATTTTGAAAATAAGATTCGGACAGGATGACGGTTTAGGTGTAATTTCATGGCAGAACAGAAGCCATGCAGCATCTGCTGGTCAGAAAAATGACGCGTTCTGCACAATGAGAGCCAGAAACTCGGTAATTCCAAAATGTTTGCTTCATTGTTAGGAGGTGAGCAGCAAGTGTTTAAAAAAGAAAGTTGGTCAACGTTGGAATGTCGGTCTTCATTTACCTTAATGATTGGGCATTTTGACGCTTTTCTTTTCACGAAGTTGATGGTGGCGTGCTGATCTCCATTTCTATGCGATCAGCCAGGAGTGTTTTTAAGGCGAAGTCTGCAGCCATGTGGCAAGCGTAGCGTGTAGTCTCAAGTTTCTTAAACACAGAACGGTACTCATTTATGAGACTCGAAAGGAGGAAGGGCGAGTGACCGTACCGGGCCTTTGACAGCATCTTTGTAGGGACTTACCTTCTCGTAATTCGCTACTGAAGCGCACTCGATATCCAATGACGTGTTAATCATCAACTCCTTAGAGGAAAAGTTCGACTTATGCTCGCATCCGCCAGCTGACATTTCATTCCCAATGGCATGCGCAGGTTTCAGAATCGCGGTTTCTCCGCCTATTTTAGAAAGTATAATGCGACAGGACCAATATTATAGGGATATTAACCTCTGATGTGGCAAACATTTTCCACATGATCGTGTTAAGGCAGCTTGTTGGCCTCATTCCTGTCAAAATTTTCTAAAATACTCCATCTCGAACATTCGTTAGAGCTTACGGGATAGAGAACTGCAGAAGGGTGGAGCTTGGGCGCAAATTCTCAATTCCTGCAATTTATTAATTGATTCTTTGGTTATTCACTATGGTAAATGTTTTGCCTAATGAATATGGATTTCCTTCCAAATTTCAGGCCCAATTTGAAAACGGACAATTTGTGACAACGGAGAATTATCCAAAATTAATTTTGAAGTTTCGTTTTAATTAACACTTTATTCCTTCGTTGCTAATCATTGTTAAATTACATAATTGCAAGCGATAAAGGAAACGATTTCCTATTACAAAAATGCATGAAGTCTGAATTCAAATTTATTTTGATTTTTTTTTTATTTAAATTTTTGATTGTGGTCATAATCGGTTGCGACCAATCACTATGCCATACCCGCTGACATTGCAACTGACGGCTCATCAGGTATGCTCTTCGGCTATGGTCTTTCCGCCTGGAAAGGAGTCGCTTGATTAGAACCACCGGCGTTCGTTTGTCTCTCACTGTTACCACCAGTTTCATCGTTCATGTATTCAGAACTACTGTCCATTTGGTTGCTCATTCCACCGTTTTCATTTTTGAGACTGCTGCCAGTTGGTTCCTTAGGAGTGCCGCCCAAGTAATCATTTTTCTTACCTCCATTTTCGTTTTGAGTGACGCTACCACCGTCACCGTAAGCCATTCCGTTTACGACTGCATAATTTTCATATCCATTCATGTTACCGTTGTTATTCATTCCATTTTCATTCTGATCGTTCCCATTGTTGCTCGGATATTCCTGGTAATTCGAATTATCACTGTACATCGATACTCCTTCAGCTTGTAACATTGAGAGAACGTTGGAGCAAATTTCCCCTTGTTGTCCGCTGTTGTCCTCAGCCATCTGAAAATTCAATGGGTACTTTCTTACTATTACTTTTCGTTAAATCATCAAATCAAATGAACATATATGCACGGAGTGCTTCTCATTATCATAACAAATTAAACATTAAAGTTGAACTGAATTTGAACTGAATGAAAAATTCTGTTCTTAACTGTGCCGTTGGTCTTCCGCTGAAGGTTCGGGCTCTAGCCTGCTAGTTCATAACTCTCATGGATTGAATCGGGAGACGCAGCCCGAAACGCCAATCAGTACAGTTAGAAAGGTTTGACTGAGCCAGCTGTCGTTTGTGAATGATCTCGTCGTGGTTGCTTCATCGAATATGGGGTGACCTTCAATGTCCCCCTTTTTGGCACTGCTCTTTGATGCGATGAGTTGAGCATGACCATTTCTCAGAAAAACACCCAGTACATGGCCCGGAATACAGTAGGCAGAGAAGATTGGGCATCTTTCACGTAGTAGTCACGAGTTACGGCAAGCAGGTCGCATAAACCGAGGCATTAATCGGTAAAGTCATCACTACAACGCCGGAGCTGAAGCTAAGCCGGAATATGGTTATGAAAACGGTGCTATGCAATAATGGGAAGCCGTTTCTCTTCAAGTCTCTCTAAGCATCTACCCTCACTTTATGTCAGTGTGAGCTGAGTATTGACCAAACGTATGTTATCTAGAAATTAAATGAAGTTTTTCTAACTGTACCATAAGGTGAAGAGGCCCGATATCTTTGAAACTACTGAAGTTCAACATACCCTCGTTTGTAACCAAGTTGGTCTTATGATAGAGAGATTCCTTCATTGAGAGATTGGTTTCGAAATGCCACAAGGGCCCAAAACGAAAAACTTGCAGGATGGCTTTCCTTCACAAAATAATATGAGTCAGCTAAGCAACTGGTGAAGAAAATAACGTGAGTGCAATATATAGCTAGCATTGTTGGGATTACGAACCTGCTGAACCGGCGAGATGGTCACAGAACCGGAGCTACTGAAAAACCATCATGAAGCTGTTGCAGTATCGAACTAAAGAAATAGCAGACTGCAAAGATGAACGGATTATAGTTATTTTTTTATCATATACATACATCAGCTTGAGAGACATGTCTTGTGCTGTGATAGAAAGCAATAGATTCATGTTTCACCAGATTAAATCTCACAAACATAACGTTCAATCGAGGAATCGCAGCATGATCAAAGGATTCCTCTCGAATTGTCAGAAACTGATCGTCAGTCACAACGATGGGAAGGTAATATATACCGCTGGATTGACCGAGCTTGAAGAGAGAAGGGCTAGAAACCGCGAAGAATGACGAGGCATTTAGGAGAGCACGATTGGTCGCCGATTACCAGGGGAGTCAGTGAGGAAACGAAATTATAATAGAACCCACTGTTCCGCATCGACTGTGTGCCTTTGAACAATCATAGCGAAGTGTCAGGTTGACTTCTTAGCAAAACGCTGTGAACTTATTGCGGCAATGAGTTGCGCGGCAAACGGTTTCCCCTCGCAACCAGACAACTAAGAATCTAGCAATTCGTGATTCCAGCAGTCAAGAGACAAGTTCCTTGCTCCATGTTTAGAGTTCGTCTTCGTTTGGCGGAAGTAAGTTAGATGATGTCTAACTCTGATAATGGAATTGACTATATATTGTCATAAAATATATGACCATATATTTTATATTCATATATGACCTATAATAAACCACGAAAGGAATAATTCTGCTCCCTTTCAGGGACAGGTGACTTCTGAAGATGAAAAAATTAAGAAAAGGATGTTGGTACTGTTAGACAAACTAGTTGAGCATGCACCATTTATTGCAGCCGATGACTTTTTGGTGCGGAATCCGAAATACGACAGATATCGACCAGGAGGAATGGAGGAACAAGGCTAATTCAGATTAGGAGAGGAATATTTCTTGCTGCGATGCACTAGCAGGTGCCTTGTACAAAAGCAAAGTGTTGAAAAACTGCGCAAACAACGGCATCAGAGACCAGATATGTTCTGTTTATGCAAAAGGCTCAAGACGATGATCTCGACGAGCACCTGATCATCCTATTTAACGATGTCACTCAAAGTTATGCGTTCAAGTCTGCATCGGCCTTCATAAAAAATCAATTCTTTTTCAGTCTCAGCACTGCAGAATCAGTCAACTTATATAACTGGATTTCTTGCTTCTGTTGGTTGGGCACGGCTAAAGTACATTCCCACAATATAGTGTGGTGAGTTACAGTGATCTTCAGGATCATTCGTGATTAATGCGCACGAGCAGCGATACAGTGCTTGCATATGATCGTGTCCAGCATACGACCCGCCCTGCTTTCTAAGCTGTTGAGAGCACCAATGAAGCAACCTGGCACAAAACGTCTGAACTCCGTTCAAGAGACTTACTTGTTTGATTCTGTTCAAAACAGTGACGCAATTGACTTGTTGATCGTTGTTCAGCGGTGCGCCGTTCACCTGGTACATAAGCTGATCGACGAGATTTGCCAACTGAAGGCAACTGTCGCCGGTTATCGCTTGGTACGACAGCTGAACTCCAGAGTTTGATATTGAGTTCACCATTTGCGAAATTTCCTCTGCAAAAAAATCCGCATGAAGCTTGGATTATAACGAATGAACGGCAAAACCGTTATTGTGTCACGCCTAGACGGTCACTGGACATATTCAGTCATCTGAAACTGAATCGAAAAGTTACGGAAAGTCTTGAAAGTAA